TTTTTTTAAAGAGCAACGAATAGAGTTTCTTGCTCGTTCTTCACCATTCCAATCTACATTTTGAAATGAGCACCTAGCTTCACCTAGCTTCACTGACGGACTGACGACAGACTATTTTTTATTTTGTATTTGTTGACGTTTCAAAGGTACTATATTATGGTTTAACTCGTCGAGTACCGGTTTTGTAGACACAATTATAGAACAATAGGTTGCGGTCACCGGTGACCGCTTGGTGTTTGACAATTTAATTGAAATAAATGCTTTGACTTTGACTTTGACTATCTACAAACTTCGACCCCTATTTCAGTGAATTGTAAAATTTACATTTATTAAAGCTAGCCATTTGTAAAATTCTTTAACACAAATTACATTCGTTTCATTTTTATTTCGTGTTCATAAATAATGTGCAGTGAATGTGCAGTTTGGTAATTGGGTACCATTCAAATAAATTGTAGGTACTGAGTTTCTGACACTTAAAGCCAAAACAGGAAGATGGAATAAAGGAAAAAGTTTTTAATGCATTGAGATGTTTTCAACAAAACAGTCTACTGCTGAACTCGTGTTCAGGTTCTTTCATTTTAACTCTAGATTACTACATATATTATATGCATCGAATTATGTAGTATTTGTTGAATTTCAGTTTATAAAAAACACACAGCACAGGCTGCAAAGAGCTTTACGCAGAGAAGAGTGATAAAAACCGAAAAAGCCGTATAACCCTGCAATGAGAATGGGACTAAGATAATAGTTCAAGTTCTTCTTCTTATGTGAAGAATGTGCCATTCCTGAAGGCTAGCCGTCAACTTTTTGAATTGGTCCTTGTCATTGGCCAGGCGGAAAAGTTGTTCCACAGAGCTGATACCAGTCTACTCCCAAATATTGCGCAGCCACAACTTTTTCCTTAGTTAGTTCAAGTAGAAGAGAAATATAGCTAGTCCCTCCACAATACTGGATAGTGTATTTTGTACACTTCGAGTGTACCCTCACCTTAAAAATTAATAAGTACTCAACTTTTTGTCTGCACGTTGCAATCATCTAAAATTGCATCAAATTCATAGATAATTATTTATTTTATAACAGACATAAGTATTCTAATTATAAGTATTTAAAGATGTGAATTCATCTCCTAGTATTACTTGGATGGGCTGGAGGAAACGCCCGGCTGTCATCACTGCGAGGACCACCCTGAGGACACACTGGGGGAATGCCCTGCGTGGGCTGAGCACCGCCGTGCCCTCAGGGAAGTGATCGGCGATGGCTACCTCTCGCGTCCGGGTCTAGAACCCAACGGGTTACCGGGGCTCCGGCTCGACGTGCAGGAGAAGGAACGGAGTGGTTTTTAGTCAATAAGAGTCTGACAGTCCCTCCCGCCTCACCCAAGCGGGAGCAGTCATTCGATGATTTTACCCCCTTAAAAAAAATGCAGGTCATGAGCAGAGCGAGGGGGATGCCGTCTCCTCCTTCAGCAGTTATGCTAGCTAAGGAGGAGGCAAGACGCGTGAGGCAGCGAAGTGCTGCCTCCTCGCAACGCAACCCAGTCATCACGAAGGACACACCGGGCGTCGGGGATCGCGGGACGATCTACGGCCACCGTAAGCGCGGGCCTGCGGACGGCGAGCATGAGTGGTCCCCGTCCGACCCGAGCGTACGGCGCGTCGCGTTCCGCGCGCGCCTCATAAGAGCCATCAGACCACCACGGATGGCCCAACAGGGCTGATGCCGTTTCGAAGTCGCGAAGAACATAACGGGTTACCGGGGCTCCGGTTCGACGTGCAGGAGAAGGAACGGAGTGGTTTTTAGTCAGTAAGAGTCTGACACTCCCTCCCGCCTCAGCCAGGCGGGAACAGCTATTCAATGATTATCCCACCTTAAAAAAAAGTATAACTTGGATTTTACTTGAACAATCAAGTCCGCGATATGGTTGAGTTACTCCTATATAATCGCTTGTTCTACAATCAGCTACGACAGATACACTAATATAAAAATAAAATGAGCGTTGAGTGTTTCTACTCCTAGCGTGGAAAAGGAAAAGAAAGCATTTCAAGATGTCCTTCCAGAATTTATTGACTCCGTGATAACTACGACTAAGGTAAAAGAACTGCCTGAAGTCGCAACATGGTTGAATCAGGTTGGTGAAATAAACTGTTGTATCATCTCCCTTGTATTTTTTACGGTATAAGCTGAGAAACGAGCAGATGGATTACTTGATGGTAAGCAGTTGGCGTCGTTCGGAGATACCCGAAACACCAGAGGCGTTACAAGTAATCGGCCTTTTGGGGATTAAGAATATAAGGATTTTTGGAGATTCAGGGATTGGGGAGGAGAGTAATTGGCCCTCTGGTAACGTAATTGATACGACGAAAAACAACGCAAGCGTATTATTTCACGTCTGTTCTAATCGCCGGCCCATTCGCGCCAAAGCATGGCTCTCCCACACTTAAACTGTCAAACACCAAGCGGTCACCGGTGACCGCAACCCATTGTTCTATAATTGTGTCTACAAAACCGGTACTCGACGAGTTAAAAATTGACACACACACTTGTTACTTGATCTTGATAATTATCATAGTGATCAATTTTGATCACAAGATTAATAAATTAAAAACAAGAAAAAAATATCGGTTTTTAGCTTATTTCCGTCAATTATTTTGTTACGAATGACTTATTCTTTGCTGGAAATACCTACATCTTATATGCTTTTCGTAGTTAAAAGGAAACAATAGAATAAATAGCAGTCTTATTATTTGCTAATTCCACATACATAACATAACATCACGCCTTTTATCTCCGAAGGGGTAGGCAGAGGTGCACACAGAAGTAACACCCACTTTTCACTATTTATGTTATGAGTCCCATGTACCTAATAGAGGGTGAGCCTATTGCCATATACCGGCCACATTTCCAGACTCCGTGCTACTACTGAGATTTTTTTATTAAAAAAACCCAGTAATACTTTGCCCGACCCGGGAATCGAACCCGAGACCCCTTGCCCGGCAGTCGCACTTGTGACCACTCGGCCAACGAGGCAGTCAATTCCAATTTGAAAATAAACTAAAAACAAAATGTGCAAAACAATGATAGTATCATTTCTGTGTACAACTCATGTGCATCATAGAAATAATGATAAGAAGACCAGTTTAATTTAGGATCTGTGGAGGCTATAAGTAGTATGGCCATTTTTCCTTTGAAAAGGAGTATTTTGGGGAGAAAGACCACAAGGAATCTTACCAGTCTAAAACCACCCGGTTATTATCCGTCAGCACTTTTAATGAGGCACCGGGTTCTCAAATTGACCAACCAGTAACTCCAGAGCGCCAACATTATGGCAATCTGCTCAAATAATTTAGGTAATTTAGTCATAGAGAGGGCAGGTGATAATTTGCGATTTTACTAGGTAGGTAGGTACACACGGCCACACATCAATCTATACAAAACCAGTTTATCCTTATGTCGCGTCACATCATCTTTCCGCACATATATCGTTCAGTTTACGCCGATTCGGAGTCGCGAAGAACCTAACGGGTAACCGGGGCTCCGGCTCGACGTGCAAGAGAAGGAACGGGGTGGTTTTTAGTCAGTAAGAGTGTGACACTCCCTCCCGCCTCACCCAGGCGGGAGAAGTCATTCGATGATATTCCCCCCTTAAAAAAAAATCGTTCAGTTTATACTGGTTATGTAAAGCTCAATGTGTCGACGTGTGTACCATTATTAGTTTTAGCCTCATCGGGCACGACACAACAAGAAATCCAAAAATATATAAAGAGGTCAATGGCCCCATTTATAACCTTTTCATACTCACATTGAATTTGTCCGATTTTTGTTTAATCATAAAAAATCATTATACGTAACTTTAAGACAAGTTCAAAGCATAATAATTTATGTGAAGGAGCATAATTAAGAGCCATTTAAGATCCTAACTGCTTGCGTAGGTCGTTAAACAAATTGTATTGAAGATTAAAGCCAGAACATAATTTTGGAAAAAGAAAAAAAATGCAAGTATACCAAAATTTTATTTCTTGATATGTTATTATAAAGACTTACAAACTTCGTACCGCCTAAAACATGTCTCACATTCTAAACCTTCCCTGGACTTCCACGAACATTTTAAGACCAAAATTAGCCAAATCTGTTCAGCCGTTCTCGAGTTTTAGCGAGACTGACGAACGGAAATTACTTTTTATTTACATAGATTAGTGCTTCATCGTTCTGAGGTACTAAGGTACGAGTTTGATTTTAAAGTAATCGAAACGATTATGCGTTCGTCCGCTTAACCATTTCAAAGATCTAGCAAAATCCAAAACGTTACCCCAGTAAAATCTCGAATAACATCGCAACCGATGAAAGAACAAATACAAAACATTTACTTCATCCAGACAACTAATTTTATAGCTAGTAATTATTGAAATATTCCCCTTAGAAAGAAAAAGGTCTGGCTGGGGTAACGTTACCCCAGCAGAAAATGTTTTTGTGAAATATTTAAAAAACTATAAGCGCAACAAATTTAAAAATGTGCGCAACAATTACAGAAGCCGCTCAACTAATTTATCTATAAGAGTCAAATGACCATTTTCGACAACATCTGGCCTGGGTAACGCGCACCTCCAGGATAGCTGCAAGTACAACCATTGAACATGACGTTCTGGGTGGAACATGAATTCTTTTTTTTCTAATCTTTCTAGATAGGTACAATTGCCACATCATGTTCGTGTAGCAATGTGTGATCTACAGATGTGTTTTTTTTCTGGGTGTAAGGATCTCAATTAGTTGCTGGAACTCGAGTTTCGAAACGAATAAATTGTAATCAACTACAACACTACATACTCATTTTTCATAAATGTAACCTAAGCCCATAAAAATTACACATACCTACTTAACCTTTTGCATGTAGTTACCTACATACACAGTATACAGGCATTTATGAAATTACATTAAGTTCTTTACCCCACTACTATTTATAAACGAATATGCTAATTGAATTCCCAGTATTGCTTGCGCGGTACTCGAACAGTGAAATGGCCAAGTTATTTCAACGTAATCGTATGCTTTACAATCAACTACGACAGTTACACTCAAATGTGATAAGCGGTTCTACTCCTAGCGTGGAAAAGGAAAAGAAAGCATTTCAAGATGTCCTCCCAGAATTTATTAACTCCGTGGTAACTACGACTAAGGTAAAAGAACTGCCTGAAGTCGCAACATGGTTGAAACAGGTTGGTGATTAAATTTTTTGTAATTATCTAGTTATAATCTATGCGTAATCCGCTGTATGCAGATTTTAAAAATACAAAAATCTAAGTTATGCTTTCTGAAATATAAATATTGGTTAGTAGGAACCGACACACATTAATTACAAACCATTCACATAACTGCCAGGAAACTGAAAAATGTTACTACATAAAGTCCTTTAACCTGTGAAGTGTCGGAACGTAGACCTACGCGAGACACAATGTGTATTCTATTGCATCGTTATTATTTACTAGCTGAGCCCGCGACTTCGTCCGCGTGGAATAGTGATTCACAGCTCCTCCCTCGTAGTTGATAGCATAATAATATGTAGCCTATATGTTGACTCGACCAGTTAGTAATATTCATGCAAAAATTGAAGTAAATCCATGCAGCAATTTTTGAGTTCATCCCGAACATACATACGGACAAATAGACAAAAATTCTTTAAAAAAAATATTCGGTGTATCGTTTTCACTTATACGTAGGCAATTGGTTATATATTTAAACTCCTCAAAATTTCTTTCTTACAGGTTCTAAATTACGTGTTACCAGGCGGTAAATTGAGCAGAGGGTTCATTACATCTGTGGGATACAAAATGTTTGAAGAACCTGAATATTTCTCAGAAAGAACACAGCACGATGCTCACATTCTAGGCTGGTGCATACAAATGGTAGGTACCTAATCATATTTTCTTTATTCTTTTGTAGACAGCAATAAAGTTGATGGACCGTCTAATTATGAACGAAGACCGTACCCTAAGCAACACGAAAGGTGTCGCGGAGAACCTAACGGGTTACCGGGGCTCCAGTTCGACGTGCAGGTGAAGGAACAGGGTGGTTTTTAGTCGGTCTGACACGCCCGCCTCACGCAGGCGGGAGCAGTCATTAGATGATTTTCCCCCCTTAAAAAGCAACACGAAAGGTATTACGACTGACTTACTTCAAAGTCAAATTTAATTTCTACTACTAACGTTTGCCGCGGAGGATTTAACGGGTTGCCGGGGCTCCGGCTCGAGGGCAGGAGTAGGAACGGGGTGGTTTTTAGTCAGTAAGAGTCTGACACTCCCTCCCGCCTCACCCAGGCGGAAGAAGGAATTCGATGATATTCCGCACTTAAAAAAAAGAACCACTAAATGTTTTACAGATGCACGCAACATTTTTTGTACTAGATGACATCGCCGATGGAGGGACAATGCGGCATAATAAGACATGTTGGCACTTGCAAAGGAACATTAATTTATACGCTGTCAACGACGCGCTGATAATGCAGCAAGCGACGATGGACATGTTAAATACTCACTTTGGGAAGTCGCCCATCTATACTGACCTGATCAATTATTTTAATGAGGTACTGTTTAACCCAAATATTGTACTCAAATACTCTATCTATAGTTAATTCAAAATACGCTGGTCTTTTGACGTTACCGATTCTTGAAAGTTAATATAACATCACGCCTTTTTACCCGAAGGGATAGGCAGAAGTGCACATTACGGCACTAATGCCATTGTACAATGTAACAACCACTATTTATATTGTTATGCTAATCCCATGTAATAGAGGGTGATCCATATACCCGGCGCAATTCCAAACTCCGTGCTACTACTGAGATTTTTTTTAAAAACAGTAATACTTTGCCCGACCCGGGAATCGACCCTAACCCCTTGCTTGCCCTAGCCAACGAGGTAGTCAAAAAAAATTTTTGGAAGTCTATTCCTAAAATGTTGATATTTTATAGGCAATGTACCGAACCACAATAGGCGAGCACTTGGATTTATGTTCAAACTACAACAAGGATACGGACAATGTAGAAATATTCAACATGAGTCGGCTCCATGACACTGCCGTCAACAAGACAGGCTACTATACCTTCAAGTTGCCAATATTTACTTCACTGCTTCTAGTGAAGAATGGTCGACAACTAGCTACCACAGAATTACATGATTTCTGTTACGGAATTGGGAGATTAATGCAAGTTCAGGTGTGTTACCATTGGCGAAGCTAAGGTGGGATAGAGTGGGGCAATTGGGTAGTTGACACTTGACAGGGTAAGAAAATTAAAAATCTAATTAGTCCGTCAGTTAGATAATGAAAACATATTAGACATGTATTTTTATATTTTTTCGTATAATAAAACAATACTTAGATAAAACGAATCAAAGTTAGGGGTTAGTTAGTGGGGGCTAAAACGTCATTTCTACGTATAAAATGTACATCGAAGTGACGTCATGCGACATTTCAAATCAATATATCGTCGAAAGTATTCGTTTTTGGAAGTAAATAAAAAATACGTGTCTAATGATTTACAATAATGTACCAGACGGACATTAAAATAAAAATTAGGTATCTCCCCTATTGCCCTACCCTGACCTATCCGACCTGTAACTTTTGTAAAATATACAAAAGATTGATGATATATGCTTTAACCACTTGAATGCCTGTATATAAGACACAATAGATACTACCTCTACATTGTGTCTCGCGTGGATCCACGTTTAGACACACAATGGGTATTTTTAATTAGTAGATATAGAAATATAGATGCAAATTCATTTATAGGACGATTATCTTGACGTATACGGCACCGAGACGATCACAGGCAAAACTTCAAGAGATATCCAAGAAGGAAAAGCTACCTGGCTGTCAGCGACAGCGCTGCAGCTCTGCAACTCAGTTCAACTTTCGATCTTCAAAGAATACTACGGCAGCAATGACTTGGAACATGTGCAGCGCATTAAGCAGCTTTACGATGAACTGAATCTGTCTGATTTGTATGAACAATATGAACTCAAAATGTATCACGATCTGTTGCATCAAATTAACGAAATGCCCCATGAAGGGGGGAAGATTTTACTCACAGGAATATTAAATTCATGCTTTAAACGTGTTAAGTGATTAAAGTTGAGAGTAAAGTATCCTAAATCTTGTTTTCCTTCAATATAGTGCACCCACAAATCATACCAGTTCTATCTTTTATAACAGTTCGGTCTATTTCGTAATGAATGATATGTTTTTGTTAGTGTAACTGCTGGATAAATTAATGTTATTCCCATACGAAATGACAGCTAAGTTAACCGGAACGCTACCAGACATTGAAAAACCAGGCCTTAATAACATCAAAACAGGGTTAGTCCAACCTGGTATGTTGCGACTTCAGCCAGCTGTTGTGTTTTATAATAGGCCTAGTTATAACATTAAGTATTAAGTAGGTACTAAATTATATTCTTGTCGAGAAAATTTCTACTCTTTCTTCCCAAAAGCGAGGAGTAATTTGAAGGTTTTTCTCGACACATAAAACGGGTCTTATCGCACGCCAAATTTTTTACTTTTATTATTTATTTTTGTTATCAAATTTTTATTATATATGATAAATTTCTAGGTTCAGGGAATAAGAATGAACAATTAATTAATCCCACGACTGCTACATTCCATTTCATATACATTCCATTTTTACGTGCTTTTACGCTACTACTAGGCTATTCTGTACGAAATCAATTCAAATTCTCGAAGTGAACTCGATCGTATTATTGTCCGTCCTTGGTCTAGATCACTCTCACAACCAATGACATGGCGGTGCGCGATCGAGCTCAGGGTTCGTACATAAAAATGCGATGCGACATCGCATCTCAAAAATGTGCGAGCTCCCTCTACACATCGTAATAACTTGCGAATTGATTCGCATCGCGCATCAAAATCTTATCTTGCTAAAATTTTCTTTGTTTCTTTTTCCTGTATGTCCTAAGTAATAACAAAAGTGCACACTTCTTTTTACGATCCATTTTTTTCTTTTTACGACCTAGTTTTCAATTTAAAATACGTTTAGTACAGTTGACAGTCGTTGAAGGAATGGTCACCCTGGGAGACGCCTTGTCGCACGAAATCGCATCGCAACAATTCGTGTCGTCATTTTCTGCGTTGCGAATTCACATCGCATCGCAGTTTTGTGTACGAACCCTCACTTCGAGAATTAGAATTGACGTCTTACAGAATAGCCTAGCTATATCTAAGTTAACAAGCAATTCCTATTTTAATGTGTATCATCACGTTCTTCAGATCCCTGCATCTAAGTTAATACCTTTCCGAGGTTCCGGAGATTTCAAAAGGCTTGCAGGCACTCGTGATCTGCATTTATATCACGAGAAATACAAAGAATATAATATGATAAGTCTCAAGTATGTCAAAAGTTCAAAAACCAAATAAACAGTTAAACATATCATTTACTCATTTTTTATTAATAATAACGCAAAAGAAATTCAAATCATGACAATTTGCTAACATGTTAAACATTTTTGTTGACTTTTTGTTTTTTGGGGATCCCTACCGAAAGGATAAAAATAAAACCATATTAACTAAGACATCACTGTTTGTCCGCCTGTCCATCCGTCCATCCGCCGGTCACTACTTCACCAAGCTGTATCTCAAGTAGGCAATTCTCTTGTCGCTAACAACAAATACAAAAAAAAAACAAAATAAAGTAAACATAGGGTCTTCCATTTTTCATACTTACTTACAACAAACGTGTTTTTTTAAATTCAATAAATAATAACTGGTAGGCATTTGAATTAAACACACAATAGTTAATTGAAAAATTATTTACTTTAATAATAAAAAAATAAATTAAAAACATGTTTAGAGGTGGCTTCAGTAATGGTCACTACGAAACCCTTCGTGCGCGAATACAACTCGCATTTGGCTGCAATTTAATTCGTGCATTCATTATTAAGAAGATCTTAAGATATCCCTCATCCTCATCGTAAAAGTAATTTAAATCCTCATGACTATTGACATCAAAAAACTAAATGAGCAACCGGTTACTCCTTTTGTCCTTTATATAGTTGTGGATCTTACTTAGGGCTTTCTGTATTCAAGTAGTGTTGTAACAAAGACGAAATAGAAGTTTGATTTATTGTTTCGTATTTTCCAATCTAATAGCTCATATATCAATCTTTTTATAGTGTGTCCAATGCTCAAAAATATTATAAATAACCTTACTTTTCCTATATATATATTCAGAAAATAGGTAACGTACATCGACTTTGAATTAGTACCTACTTTGTTTAAAGTCGGTTCCTCGACTCAGACCAATAATGGCAAAATTAGTACGGTACAATCACTTATTCTACAATCAACTACGAACGTTACATTCGAATAATTTGAGTGTTCCAATTATAAATATAGAATCGGAAAAGAAGGCGTTCGAAGATGTCCTACCAGAATTTATTGACAATGTTATAACTCGGCCGAAGATAAAACAGCTGCCTCAAGTCGCGACATGGATGAAGCAGGTTGGTGAATAACTTTATTTATTTGTTACTATTAAGCTGTTTCACAATCTATCATTGGATTCCTGTTAGTTTGACTATTCAATTGGGATGGTGACAGGGTATGAAAATTAAAAATATAATTAGTATTTAAGTTAAGTAATGTTAGACGACGAAAATCAACTAAATGAACGTCACTAGTTTAATCTATGTTATCGACAGCACTAGCTGTCATATTGACGATGTCATCTGTCAAATGGGACAGATTAGAAAAGTTTCCCGCGCAAAGTGGAGTGACGCGCGAATCTGGTGGGAAGTTTGAGGAGCATTGCGCTGTGTTCATAAAAGAATCCGTTTATAATAAACTTTTCGATATTTAAGTATTGAGTTTTACTTAAAAGTAAAGAAAAAATATTAGACATTTTTTTATTTTATCGTATAATAAAACATTTAATATAGGTATAAAACGTATCAAAGTTTTGGAGTGGGGGCTAAAACGTCATTTCTACGTATAAAATGGACATAGAAGTGACTTTACTTCACGCGACATTTCAAGTCAATATATCGTCGAAAGTAGTAGTTTCTGTAAGAAAATAAAAAATACGTGTCTAATGATTTAAAATAATACTATTTTAATATTTGACACATGTATTATAAAAATACGTCTAATTAACCGTTAGTTGGATTAGTCATTGGAGTAACAGTATCTTATACAGACGTTGTGGAACAGGCCTACGCCTAAAATAAAGAAAAAAAGGGCCCTAGACAATTAAGACCCATTTCACATTCCTCGGTTCCGGGTATCCATCGCATGCATAGTGTACCCATATTTTATACGATGTCCATTACTTATTAAGACATATTGAAATAAATTGAATTAAAGGATTGACCATTTAAGGGACCAGAAAGCTAAAAGAACAGACGAGTGGAAGGAGGATAGGAAGGCTTTTGCCCTGCAGTGGGACGACCATGGCTAAAAATATTTGACCATTTTGGGGACTATGGGAGCTCCCTGATTTAGCCTATGTAGTTTATAATCTAATTATTTTTTGTTTACAGCTCTTAGAATACACATTAACTGGAGGAAAACTGGGCAGAGGATTGATGGCTTCTACGGGATACAAAATGTTTGAAAATCCTGACCAGTTCTCGGAAAAAACACAACACTCAGCTCGGCTCCTAGGCTGGTGTGTAGAAATGGTAATGAATTGATTTCTAAATAGACATGGTTTTTTTTAAGGGGGGAAAATCATCGAATGACTGCTCCCGCCTGGGTGAGGCGGGAGGAAGTGTCAGACTCTTACTGACTAAAAACCACCCCGTTCGTTCTCCTGCACGTCGAGCCGGAGCCCCGGTTACCCGTTAGACTCTCCGCGACAAATAAACATGGTTAATGTTAATGCCTTATTATCTCATAACATTCATATACCGATTCCGATACAGTGAATAGTAACATTTTAATGAACCTCATATTGCGTTATATACGTATCGTGAGACGTACTAAATGAATTGAAAAAATCCAAACTAAGTAGAGCTTATCTCAATATCTCGATTCATTAGTATTGAGTTAATTATTATGTTTTTCGGCTTACTCGCGTAATTATTTGACGAAGAACTCGACTAGTTTCAAGCCATGCTAGAGGCTCATATTTATGAGCAGCATTACGCGACGCGCAACAAAATGCAGCTCATGCTCATGAAAAGGGAAAGTTATAATATAAATACAGTTAGGATCAATACTTCAACAATCAATACAATAGCTGGCTATCATTCCCCGCAGTCGTACTATATACTAGACACTTTGTACCTACATAAACTTTTAATCTCTATTCATTTGACAGTTGCACACATCACTAATAGTATTTGATGATGTCTTGGATGGCGGGACGGTGCGACATGGCAAGCCAAGTTGGCACCTGCGACGTAGTATCAGCAATTATGCTTTTATCGACTCGATGTTAATACACCATGCCATGATGGACGTATTAGAAATGTACTTCGGGAAAACGCCCTTCTATAATACTATGTCTAGTTATTTTCATGAGGTAAGTACGATTACTTGTCTAAACATTCATGGTTTGCAGTATGCAATTTTTTTTAAATAATTATATTAACTAACCTATATAGGTACATTTGTACTATGTATAATATAAAGAGCTCTTATGCTTTGCATTTACATCTAAAAATACGTCCACGCCTGGCAAATGCCGTACTAGTGCACCGCTAAAGAATTAAGAACACACTTTTAAACGTATGGACAATGTTTAAAGAGCCATGCATGTAGGTAAGGATACAAACTTTAATATTATTTTAACTTACTAACAAATTTTGTTCTAATTCCAGGCATCGTACCGAGCCACTATTGCTGAGCACATGGACCTGTGTTCAGGCTACAACAAGGACACGGATAATATAGAAATATTCACCATTAACCACCTCCATGATATAGCCGTTTACAAATCAGCCTACTATTCCTTCAAGTTGCCAATATTTGCTGCACTGCTTCTAGTGAAGAATGGACAGAAACTAGCTACCATCAATTTACACGAGTTTTGTATGGAATTAGGAATATTGATGCAAGCTCAGGTGAGAGGAAACCGTTACTGAAATTACTAAAAAAGAAATAAGATTTCGGTCGTCTACTGGACACATGCCAGTCCAAAGAAATTAAAGTCTATACATACATGATACCGGGGCCTGGGAACGGGGTATTTTAGTAAGAGTCTGACATTCCCTGCTCACCTAGGACGGGAGGAGTCATTTAAAGATCCCCCTGCCTCAAAACACACCTTTCCGATAGAGCTAACTTTCAGGTTCTTATAGTCTCATAATCTTTTAACATATCTATTTTTATGTTTATAGGACGATTACTTAGACGCTTATGGCAACGAGACGGTCACGGGCAAAAATAGCAGAGATATCCAGGAAGGAAAATGCACTTGGTTCTCAGTTACAACGCTGCAGCGCTGCAACTCCGCTCAACTTGCGATCTTCAAAGAATACTACGGCTGCAATGACTTAGAAGATGTGAAGCGCATCAAGCAGCTTTATGATGAACTGAACCTGCGTGATGTGTATGAACAATATGAACACAAAATGTATGAAAAACTATTGCGTCGAATAAACGAGATGCCCCATGCAGGGGGGAGAACTCTACTCACGGGAATATTAAATTTATGTTATAAAAGAGTTAAATAATAAAAATGACGGATGCTGATAATCTTACTTTTATTTTATTACTAGTGCAATGACTGCTTGCTTGATTTGTAAGTTTTTTACACGAAATAACCTTAATTACTATCAAAGCATTTATTTCAATCATAGGGTAGGTAACCTATCCTATCCTAACAATCAATTACTTATTTTGAAAGTTTTGTACAATACCAATGGGCAAAATAGTAGTACCTACTTAGATACACCTACATTACTACTAAAAATTAAACAGGCAACAAAGAAATGAATAAAAAAAATTATATACCTATAATATGTAGGTATGTAGGTACATAAAATTTTTTCAGTTTTGATACTAATAGCGCCATCTATGATTACTTATGAGAAGTATTCCTAATTTATCGACAAGCTATGACTATGGTGCAGCTTTCAATGTTAAAATCAGAACTAACGTATAGTACTTAGTAGTACTTACTTACTACCAAAAGATGGAGTTGGTTCCGTTTTATTATTTTTTTAAAACTTTACTCAACTTCTTCCTTGACGTGGGAGGCATAGACACTGCCTATTAGGGAGGCAATATTTTCTAATTGAGCACATTTATACAGACAGTACCAGTACAACAAAGGATGATGCCTAAGTTTCAGAGGTATCAGGTCTTTAGTTTCAAGAACTCTAAAATTGGTTAAATAGTGTTTAAGTTTAAGGGCAAGCTAAAACTGTAAACAGTTTAGCTACTTCATTATAGTATGAACTGTATTTTGTATCCTATAATAGGGCTCATGGTTTTCTCTTAGCAAAAAAGCCCTGCTTGTAATAAAGATTAAAAAACAAAGAAACGGATGGTTTCTGGGTCGGGTAAAGTGATATTAAATTTTGACATTTTATAAAGCAGTATTCAACTTACATCGGTTTTTTTTTCAATTCTTAGTCAGTGGGCCTACCTATACCGCAAACGGCAGGAATTCTTCACGGATTTAGTTATATTTATCCTATAAATATTAATAATTAAAAAAAATGTATATTTGTTATTTATTCACGTCAAATCGTCTGAAGGGATCGGGATGAATTTTGTTTTTTGTAAAAAAACGTTGCCCCACACTAGGATTTTCTCCAGTGTCGTGGGTGCGTTTACAAACATACAATTTCACACACACATGACACACAGACCCGAAACAACAACTTGTGGATCACACAAAGACTTGTTCCGTGCGGGAATCGAACCTGCGACACGTTGCACAGCAGCCAGTTGCCCAGCCACCGCACCAAACGTGGTATCAATTGGAACAGGGGTTCTGGTTAGTACAGAGCAGTGTATGGTCTGAAACAACACATACGCTACATTTTATCCTACGGGAATGCGGGCGAAGCCAGAGGCAGAAGCTAGTTTATTACATTTCTAGAATATGCTTGCTTCTTGTGTCAACCTTTGTTGTGTCTCAAAGTCAAAGTCAAAATCATCTATCGGCTATCCTTTAAAATTAAAGTCAGAGAATATCTTCAGAACAAACTGACACAATCAAGTCTCAATTAACACCCTCCTCAGAAACTTTATATATACCTACAATTATATGAAATTTATAAACCCATTATATATTTAATTATTTACATATTATATTTATGTTTCATATTAGTATGTAGTTTATGTGCTAGGATACCTTTATATGTAGGTACGTACATTTATCATCCTCGTTTTTTTATTTTTTTCAATAGATGCAAACTTCTTTTAAAACCTACTGTAACACTTCTCTGCATCACCCTATGGTTGGCTGGTAGAGAATGCCATTCGGCATTAAGTCCGCCATTGTATACAGTTATACATGAAGTGTTAAATAAATAAATAAAATCATTAATTTCAGTTAGACCAGAAAGGCACTTTCGAACGTCAACAAAAAGTAGACCGTCTCTGCATCACCCAAAAGTTTGGCTGTAAGAGAATGCTTATGGCATTAAACCAGTCTTATATACACATAATTTTTATGCATGAAGCCTGTAAATAAGTGAATAAAAAATTATAAGAGCATTAATATCATACTAAGTGGATAGACCATAGACATACATGAAAAAAACAAGGGTCAAGTCTATGAAAAAGCCTTCTTATGAAAATCTCAGGAGACTTTTATGAGTAGGTGCAATTTATTAATATTATTTAATAAAAATAGGATTACAAAAGAATTTTGTATTCATGTTTAAAATTATTTTGTAACTCATATACAACCAATTTTGTCTATGACGAGGTGTTTAAATCATTGTACCTACTTTGCAGGGCCCAAAAGTTAATTATCTAATAATTTTCGCTCTATTTGTTGTATTAAACTGTCAAACACCAAGCGGTCACCGGTGACCGCAACCTATTGTTCTATAATTGTGTCTACAAAACCGGTACTCGACGAGTTAATGTGTTATATGTATATGTTATACACAATAAGAACTTTATACACAAACATTTAAAATAAACGGAAACAACATCTAACAACTTAATCTACGTGGTTGCTTTTTAGTTAAGGGCATTCTTATGGGTATTTGCTGTCTAGAAGAACCAATGATCAAATTCCTATAAACCAAAAATCTCCCAAGTGTTCCTTGTCTTGTCATGCACGTGTACGAAACAAGTGGGAACAGAATTATTAATAATCTCTTAAAAATCAGAGGACCCCTAACCACCGGTAGCTCAGACCATGCTCCTGCTACTGGTCGGCTCCTATTCTTTATACTTTTAGCTATACCTATCTTTAATATTTTTTTAAGGGGGGAAGATTATCACATGACTGCCCCCGCCTGGGTGAGGCGGGAGGGAGTGTCAGACTCTTAATGACTAAAAACCACCCCGTTCCTTCTGCACGTCGAGCCGAAGCCCCGGTTACCCGTTAGGTTCTCCGCGACACCTAACTTATAATACGCCCGCCCGCCCCATGTATTTACTACTGTGAAAAGCTATCACAACATCACCATTTCGTGTGTCGTCTATTAATAGGTCCTATCAACAATACTCCATAAAATTTCAAGGTGAATTTTTACCTTGAAATTTTATTTTACTTTATTAAAATACACGGGTCAAAGCTAAACTACGTAAGGAATTAATCATGACTATGTAAATAAATAAATATATTGGAAATAAATATGTACGTATCAGTTATAGGAAATGGCAGTGTACAGTCTGCTGTCGGACACATATTATAGTACATTCGTTTACAAGGAATTTCTTCAGTCAAAATGGCGAATTTATTTCTCCGAAGAACATTGTCCTGTAATCAGTTTAGGACGTTGCATAAGACTACAGTTAACTACAATGTGCCGGTGCCCATCACTTTTAATAGTTACAAGAACCAGCAAAAATTCCGTGAGGTCCAGTCTGAAGTACTGAACACCTTGATGTCTAGCCCCAGATTTGAAAACCAGCTGATTGATGTTGAACAATGGGTGACAAAGGTTGGTGATCAATTTCCTGATTGAACCAACAAAAACTCAATTAAGACCTCATTTAAGAAATTGGCTTTTGTGTTTTGCAGTTGCTAGATTATACACTAGAAGGAGGAAAAAGAGGTAGAGGTTTGGCAGTACCATTTGCATACGAAATGATGGAAGATCCAAAAAACTTTACTACAGAAAACCTCCACAGAGCTCGAGTTTTGGGGTGGGCCGTGGAAATAGTAAGTAATAAATGTAATAGTGATATGGGCTAAATAGAAAAGGGTGCAAAAAATAAGTACCTATCATTTTATCTGTTCCAGCTACAAGCATATCTGCTAACTGTAGATGATATTGTGGACGCGTCAGAAACTCGCCGAGGCAAAGAGTGTTGGTACCTGCACAGCGATGTTGGGCTCGGGGCAGTTAATGACTGTGGAATCCTTCTGGCCTGTGCCGTAGAAGTAATGGACCTCTACTTCGGAAAGGAAGCCATGTTCGCCGATTTAATCAAAATTACCAACGGGGTATGTATATTTCGATGTCTTTTACTTCCTAATGGCTGTTTTCTATTAGGCTGACCCTCCAACCTCAATTTCAAAATTTGATACAGTAACACTCGTTTCGATCTAGGTACTGTTAGATATTTCAATATATATGTATATTACAATTAAGTACAATAGTTCGGAGTGACTTATTAAGGAGATTTCTATCACAACCAGAAAAAAACAGTTTCAACGCGCTTCTCTAAAACCAGACGGAAAATAAACGTATATTAAATATTTTCAGACTCTGTTGCAAACATCTGTAGGTCAGTATTTAGACTGCTCATCTGGCTACACCAAGGAGAAGAATAACCTTGACAAGTTCACAATGGAACTCTTCGATTCTATAGCATACCAGAAGACTGGCATCTACTCTTTCAAATTCCCTATGCTCTTAGCTCTTACACTAGTAAAAGACGGGAAGAGCAGGTATTCGGAAGAAGCAAATGAGATAGCTTGGGGCCTGGGTAAACTTCTACAATTTCAGGTAAAAATATTTTATACACGATTTAATAATAATTGGTGTTTACTTCTAGGATGTAAAATTTTTATCTTGCAGACTGTAAATACTCATTTACATAAGCTTCTAATTAATTTGGAAGGTGACTTATTAGGTATATTACGTACTTATCATATCTCTTCTATTAAGAATAATCATTAAAATTATAATGAACTAGCTGTAGCCCGCGACAAAAAAATGCTGTGTTACAAATATCATTAGAATCGATTCAGTACCTAAGTTATATTTATTGTGAAATGATTATTTTCAATCACAGGGGTTTTACAGATATAGTATCCGTTCCGGTGAGATTTCAGGAATTAAAATTATTCTAAGTCCTTTCCCGGATTGCCAACCAATGTTGTACCCAATTCTAATCAAATAGATACAGCGGTTGAAAACTCGCAGGCGTTCTTTTCCGGGCTTCAAACTATCGTTGTACCGAAGTCCACTCAATTAAGTTTAATGGTTCAAAAGATAGCGAGAGACCTAGAAGTTTAACACTTAGTTAGTTTCTGTCCCGTGGGATTTCCGGGACATAGAAATATTTTATGACTATTCAATATTGGAACGTGATATTAAATTCTCCAACTATGTATTCTGTACCTTTAGCCAAACGCCACTTTAGCGCTTGTCTACAGAGAGAGTAGAAAACTAAATGTATGGGGATGACACTGACAAGTGTCAAAATTTACGTCAATTCCATATAATTTGGTTTTCTATTCTACACGTAGACAAGCGCTAAGTGGCATTTGGCTACAGCTGCTTTTCTCCAACGCACACATGCACACTGTCTTGATAGATATGATTCAATTTTAACTTTATATAGCGTTAATAAAGCGCTCTGTTATGGGCAGGCTCCGATGAAACAATCATTCAGAGCGCCAAACGCGGTCCCCTTTCGATTACTAAACCCTCTGGCTTATTTCAACGAAATGTTTTCTTTTAGAATGACTACAAAGACGTGTTCGTCGACGATATGAACACAGGGAAGGTAGGCACAGACATTCAAGAAGGTAAATTAACCTGGTTTGCTGTAACAGCGCTGCAGCGCTGCACCGAAGGACAACGTGCCATATTCAAAGAAAACTACGGCAGTAAAAACCCTGAACATGTAAAGCGCATCAAGCAGCTTTTTGATGAATTAGAATTGGAAAAAGTATACAAAGAGTATGAAAGTTCTGTGTATGAAGATTTAGTTCGTAGAATTCGAGCTCTGCCAACAAAAGGAGAGACACAATTTTATTCAGAAATTTTGGAAGCGTGCTGTAAACATCTCTACTGATTTATAGGCCTATAATGGCCTGTCGTTCTTACCATATGTTAATGTAAATGATGAATATATTTATACGAATAAAATGGTAGTATCATTGAGTAGGCCTTTTATAAAAATTACTCGTTAAATATGTATATTTCTGTTTATGTTAATAAGAACCAGCCGACCAGGAAGTCGTTGGGGTCGGCCTATGCAGTTAACATCGTCGGCGGATCTGATGATAATGATGTTATCATTCGTTAGTTATTATTAAAGAACAAATAACCACATCAAGTTGGCACCTTTTTTTGAGGGGGGAAAATCGAGAGTGAACAAGAGTGTTAAGACTCTTACTGGCTAAAAACCACCCGAGCCGGAGCCCGGAAAACCGTTAGGTCTTCCGCGGCTCCGTTCATTTTGCCCTTAATATTACCTACAAAACCAATATGTTTAATAAATTGTGTATAATGTATAATTTATTGTAATCAATAAATGTATCGTCATATGATCACATCTCTGAATTAATTGTTTGTTTGGGTCTTCAGTACAACATAACATCACGCCTTTTATCCCCGAAGGGGTAGGCAGAGGTGCACATTACGGCACTTAATGCCACTGTACAATGTACACTATTCACTAATTATGTTATGAGTCCCATGTAATAGGGGGTGTACCTATTGCCACATACCGGGTAGAATTCCGGACTCCGTGCTGCTACTGAGAAAAACCCAGTAATACTTTGCCCGACTCGGGAATCGAACATGAGACCCCTTGCCTCTTTAGCCGAGTGGTCGCAAGTGAGACTGCCGGCACTTGCGACCACTCGGCTAAAGAGGCATTATTTAGTAATTACAATTTTACTCCTTTTGATAATTTTGTACACAGTCTTAAACTTCACGACTATACAATATATTTAAGCCCATTAAAACCGTTAAACATAAAACATATTTCTTATACAAATTAATATAAATTGATGCATTTGAAGAAATACACAGGATCTAAAAGCGAAATTGCCTTATCTTCTTATCTAAGTGTAGGAGAGCCTTACTTCGGCACGAATGGGCCGGTTCGACCGGAGTGATACCACGGCCTCACAGAAAACCGACGTGAAACAACGCTTGGATTGTGTTTCGTCGGGTGAGTGAGGTTACCGGAGGCCCAATTATCGCGCCCCTCCCTAATTCCTAATCCCAAAAGACCGGTAACGCACTTGCAACGCCTCTTATGTTCCAGGTGTCCATAGACAACGCCGATTGCTTACTACCAGATATCTATCATAAATAAAAAAAAATGTTAGGCCAAGTTTGAAATAACAGGAACAATAAAACAATCAGATGGGTACTATCATAGTATATTCCAAAAATATAATGTTATACATGACATTGCTTTATATAATCGAGTATACGGGGTAGTGTCACTGACCCCTATTAAACAGCAGTAGTACTAAACTAACGTAAAATGCAAAACTTAACTTAAACACTTTGCAAAATATAATACACAATATTTATTAAGACCCTTGTCACGAGGTTAAGCAAATGTTTTTTTCAAAAATGGCGCCTAAATATGGCGGGAAATATAACACCCGTGTGGGGCCAGAGACAAGTCGAATAAAGACGAAATTAAAAAAAATATTTAAATACTGTATTTCATAGAATAATTCATAAAATCAAAGAATATATAAAATTTGATTTTTGCTTGGAAATAACAGGACATGAATTAATAAAATGGATTACCGATTAATTTAAATTGTTACGTTTGGGTTTCTGTGAGTTGGTCTAAGCGTAACCTTCCTAATCTCCAGGACCTTCTGATACAGTGAACGGACACAGACAACAATAATATCTAACTTAATAAGACACAATAACTATCTATTGAATGTTCATACTATTATTTTGGCAATAAATAAATAACAATTATTATGTAATACATTTTAATAAATACAGATATGTTCAGCAGTTTATTAAAAAAGTTTAAGTAACATAGACTCGAAATTGTGCCTCAATAGCTGCCCACTTTGTAACTTTCGGAAAAAATCGGAATCATTCGGATGTGTTCGGCTGGAATATTCTAAAACATTTAATATACCTCGTAACAGTTCTCGTTTTAACGTAAATAGAGTACAGATTTAAGCGTTAGCATCATGTGCATTCACGTTTACAAACATCGGTATATTTGTGTTTGAAATGACTACAACACGTCTGCTATTTCAATTTGATACACTAATATTTAAATAATGATCCTTATTGTGGAGGGAAAACGGTTCAGATTCACACAAATTTCAAATTGTGTTCTTGAATTTACCTGTACTTTAACAAGGGAAAGAGAAAAGAGAAGGAGGGAGACGGGAATATCTCCATCCCACGTCGGAACTGTGTTTCAAGCACAATTGAGTTCAAATTAAAATAGCAGACTAATAGTACGTGCTAATATAATTTTGACTAGTAAGCACCAATTGACTAACATTATTTTTATTCCTTACAAAATCTATGTACAATCTGTTTTGGCTAATAAAATTTAGCCAATAAAACAGTATCAATTTACGAAAAATGTTTACTAAATAGATAGACTATACTAATATTATTATACAATGAATATATCAAATTATAGTTTGAGCGACGTTAGTGCAGCCCTATAAACGTAAATACTCAAGTTTACAACATAAAGAAATAAAAATATTCAATAATAATAACATAATACGTAATTTGTGCATATTCGTAGATATAGGTTAAAAATGGAAAAGGTTTTAATACATTATAGTTGCTATTCGTATAAATAAACAAACAGGTACAGTACAGATAATAAATTGCTATTTACTCAAGTGGCTTCCTCTACTTATCTTAAAATGGGTGGTTGACAAGATGATTAATTATTTAAACATAAACCTTACGCTCTATAGATTAAAGTACTATTTTAAATGTGTTCTTTTAAACATTTATCACGTTTCTAACTATCTAAGTATTGGTTTTTAATAATGCCTAGTAATGCCTGCAGTGCAAGTCAACGTAAGACAAGAATTAGAGTCGAAATGAACCTTTTAAAGAGAGAAAGAGTTATAAACAAGCAAAATATTAATTTTAAATGATAATAATAATTACGTAATTATATAAAAATAGGTGAATGCTACATGTAAATGTTATTAGACTATAGTTTAGTCGAGAAAGCTCTTATCAATGTGATTGCTAAGTTATTAATACCTTAGGTTGATATCAATTGTGATCAGATCAAGTTATTTCTAATACATATTATTATTATTATAGTTATATCGTTAATTCGGTGGTCCTCTTTAACTAAGTTTTATTCACAGAGTGTTTTATAAACCTATTTTAACTATAGGTTCTTCTAACTTTTTTCGAAGCAGAGAAATGAAAGGTTTAGCAATTGGGTACTTTCCTTAATCAATAATGACTTATTTCGACTGTCCAATACAATCAAATATTAAAATATAATGACACTTTCAATTGATTTTACGATCGACTTAATTTTAGTATTTTCTATGTTTTTTTAAGAATTAGGTATGCCATTTGACGGTAAAAAAACGTGACGTCACAATACACAATCTGGTACAAAATTCATAGGAGATTATGTTTTTGACAGTCGAAAAAGTATTGAATTTGACTAGTTGGCAAGTACCCAATAGATTTGTAGACAGTTTTACGATTAAATTCAACCGTGGTGAATGAACAATTCCTTACTGTGTCAAACAAAATGACGGAGCAATCTTTTTTATGTTATATGGTTCAATTCAATGTTCTACAGTTATAATAGGTTTAGATTCTTTATGAATATAAGGTAAGTGTTACGATATACGCAGAAATGTATGTTTCATTCTTACAATAACAAACTACAATAGCGATGCTCCCAGAAGAACATTGTTAATCGCAAAGTTCCCGAACTTTCTATGAATACATTAATGTGATTATGCATTGTACACGAATACAGAGTAAAATTAACAAAATTAAGATCGATTATTTAGCCACGGTCATATATTTAATTTTAGCGCCAACTTCTCCTATCTTACCAATTCCAACCGTTGTTCAATAATATACCTTATTAATACTATTTACTACGCTCATATTAGAATATCTACATCTATTTGGCGTGCACAAATTGGCATTTTCAATACCAAACAGAGACATCAGTCGCGAGTGGAATAACATTTTCTGTCCCCAACCATGAGATGATTGGGAGAAAATTCAACGTCTTTTAGGGTAGTGCTACCAATTCAGTCAACATATATATTATATCACTACATATTTGCCGATATCGAACATAAACTTATAATACAAATAGCTGAATAAATCGTCGCGCGAATCCCCACTCGAGCTACCTATCACCAATTTTCAGAACACACAAAAATCACTCTAATACCACCTAAAATTGAGTGCACTTTAAACCACCCAGTGTTGTGAAACACCAAATACATCCGACGACTCGGAACAACAACCTTACTCCTCAAGTGAACATAGGCCGAGTATGTATCATTCATTAGATGCTTTGTCCCTCTCACACCACTGCAAAACGCAACTAATCTGACAAGGACGGCAACATCCATTAAACTAAACCAAATAAACATAACTTACGAATATATTGCCGTCTCTTTTTAACTTGCAGCCAGACGAACAGTGTGAGAGAGACAAGACTCAATTAACTCGACCCAATAACACGTAATCAATTCTCAGCCTTAAATTGCGCGGCAAAATACTCAGCCGCTTACCCGTCCCTAACAATGAAGTGCAATCAGCAAGCTATTGCATATGCAGGTAAGAAAATTAAGATTGATTCATTACAGAAACAGTAACGTTAAACGGAGTGAATAAATACCGAAGATGGAATTTTGTTCTTTTTTTTTTTTTGATGGGCCAACGTTTAATCACTATCTCGCCTGGTGATAAGCGATGATGCGGTCTACGATGGACGACGTCCCGAAAGCAACCAATTCACTCGGCCCTTGAGTCTTCGGTCAGTATTTCAATACAGAAAGTCAATTTCAATACAGAAATACAGAATCTGGCAAACAATTCGACTCCTCATCAGTGCGCACAAGGAAACTTGATGCGAAGCGCCCCGTGCGAGTGGATGGGACTTCTACCATGAAATATTAGAAAATTGTTCTAGTAACTTTAGTAGTAGTTTCAAGTGTGGGAGAGCCATGCTTCGGCACGCAAGGGCCATCTCGACCGGAGTGCTACCACGGCCTCACAGAAAACCGACGTGAAGCAACGCTTGCGTTGTGTTTCGTCGTGTGAAGTTACCGAAGGAACAATTACCCACCCCTTCCCCAATCTCTCCAATTCCTGAATCCCCAACGATCCTCAAACTCCTAATCCCTAAAAGGCCGGTAACGCATTTGTAACGCCTCTGGTGTTCCAGGTGTCCATGGGCGACCGATTGCTTGCCATCAGGTGATCCGTCTGCTCGTTTACCGGCTTATGCCATAAAAAAAAATTTATTACAGTAACCGTTTGTTTGCAGCTGGAATCTATACTAATAATGCTGGCTCTTGTGATACAGGGATACCTATTACAAGAGCCAGGGCTTCACTGTGTTAATTCTATGAAGTGCTAATAAACGTTTATTATTATTATTATAATGCTAAAGAGTTTATTTTCAACTACTGGTTCGATTTTAATATAATTTTTTTTTTTGTAAATATACGATCAATAGGAACTAAGTACCGGGAACACCTAGTACAAAATATATAGCTTCGTTTAACCATACAATTTAATAACGAATATAGAATCGATCTACATTTCCTTACCTGTATGACATAGCTTGGCTGACTGAACATTTTATTAAAAATTATATAAAACATAGTACATACATCGTGCTCAGGGGTCTGTTTGCGTGAGTACAGGTAGTTGCGGGGCCACGGTGAGGCGGCGATGGGCCTCCGAGCCGGTGAGCGCGGCCACCGTCACTCCGGCCTGGTACGACGCCGGGATGCGGATGTGACGCGTCCTGGTACCGTAATCTCCCCAGCCTATAGCACGCCATTCGCGAATCACGTTTATTACTTGACCTGTAATTGTAATTAATAATAATTATAGTACGTCTTTGAACTGAAATCATTGCGAATTTATTTAAAAAATCATAATTATTTTTATGTCTACTGATCGACTCATCGAATCAATCATTGGAATACTAGTCTTTTAGTTGAAAGTTGAGAAAAAATTCTATTTCAAAAATACATTACATTACAATCCACGAAAAATAAAAAAAAAATGGAAATAATCAAATTACTTGAGAAAACACTACAGCCTTAATGAGAATAATAAGAAGAAACCTTAGGAATAGCTTATCATTCGATTAACTTACCAAGCACATTAAAAGTATGGAACCGTCGATCAGGAACGACCATCAATGGTGAGAGATCAGTATCCGCAGTGAATCTTGACAGGACATCCCTAGTTTTCACTAATAACACTGAGGGTGACGTCAGATGTTGCCAGAGGGTGGCTTCACGGATGCATTCTACTGGATTACATAGGTATACTCCTCGTGGGGACACTCCGAAGACCATCTGATGGTGCCATGCATCTGGGATGTCATTCTCGTAGCCAGCTTGTAAGTTCAGTGTTAATATTGGTACTGCGCCTGTGAAGGACGTAATTACATGTTACGACATTTTATGAGTTGCTGACATACGACAAAGGGTCTCACGTGTGTTTCCCAGGTCGACCGGCTCGGTGTGGGGGGTATTTCATTACAGGGAAATATTAAGTCAATATCAATAGCCTATACCTAAGTGCCCACCGCCGAAAAAAGCTTAATAAATCCCAATAAAGTAACTGGCGAATAATATGTAAAGACCTAATTAGTGCACCTATTTGCAATTCTTAATTTTATACTATTATATGTATAAAGCTGAAGAAGTTTATTTGTTTGTTTGAAAGCGCTAATCTCAGGAACTACTTACTGGTCCGATTTGAATAATTCCTTTTTATTAAACCACTAGCTTTTACCCGCGGCTTCGCTCGCGTCACAAAAGGATAAAAAGTAGCCTATGTGATATATACACACAGCGCCATCTACACCAATACTTTTGTTTTCCCTCGGGAATATCAAATTTTTCCGGGATAAAAAGTACCCTATTATTTAATCCAGACTTCTAACTTTACGTCTGCAAAAATTCAAAGCAATCGGTTTAGTAGTTACGGCGTGAAAGCGGAACAAACAAACAAACAAACACACTTTCCAATTTATAATATTAGTAAGGATAATATTCAATTATTATCGGTTTTCAGAAAAGTGTTTGGTACACTTAAGGAGAAGGTGTATATTAATTAATAAATGTTAAATAAATTATTAAATAAATTAAAAAACCGACTTCAATTCCCTCTTTTTTGGAGTTTATAAAATAATTATTTTGTTTTAGTTTTCGAATGAAAGTTAAGATGAATGGTAGAGTTTAATAATAATAAATAATAATAAATAGTTTATTTTATAAAAAGGGACATATTTACATGTATAGTATCTTAACGATTTGATTAGAGCTCAGTTGCTTATTTGCCTGAACTAGGTGGAACCTGTGTTTCAGACTATTCAGTATTGTAGTTAATAGTTAATAATTAAAGGAATCATATTAATCTCATACAACGGGTCAAAAATGGATGTATACTTTTGTCTATCCCTTCAGGGACGGAATGGCGTATTAATATGTACCGATGTTAAAAGTATTGATAAACAACTTAACATAAAACGCATTTTGCTTCTTAGTAAACAAAGTTTAAAAAATAACTTATTTATGCACATAAATATGCACACAGTTAAGGACTAGTCTTACTATCCATTCCAAGTAAACGCTAGTAAGTACTATAATGGCATGACACAAAACCCATTAAACTATTACGATCACTCATGCATATTTGCATTAATGTATGCAAATTACGTGTTTGTCAACTTCCGTCATCAAATAGTTTAAATTATTTACATTTTTACTATGATGATTCATGAATGAGGCCTTTATTAAGATAAAGTTAAAGTTCAAAATTGCTTAGTACTGTTCTTCATTGTTTGACCTTAAAAGTAGGTTGTTGCTTTTCAACTTCAATAGTATTAGTAGAAATATTTATGGCCCTTCTCTACTTAAAACAGAGTTGGAGATAATTGTTTAAAAGGTTGACCTTAATCAGAGATTGCTCTATGCTCTTCCTAATCTCTGTTAATTTTTAGTCGTAATGACGGTCTTGCAATAGCCGGGGGAAGATTAGAGGTGAAAAATGCCCAAACACACCCCCTTATTCCCCAATTTCCTCAATCCCTGAATCCCCAATAATCCTCAAATTCCTAATCCCCTAGAGGGCTGCAAACGCACTTGTTACGCCTCTGGTGTTCCGGGTGTTCATAGGCGACGCCGATTGCTTACCACCAGATGATCCGTCTGCTCGTTTATCGACTTATACCATAAAAATATATTTTACACTGATTTGACATTATACTTACCAACAGTAATCCAATCAGCCAGCCAGTGAGACAATGAGATGGCTCTCTCAGGGTATGTTGGGAAGAACCTGGCAGTGACCAGACCATCTGAAGCTCTGTGTATGCCGGAGACCAAGTCTGCTGCAGTACAACCCGCCACCGCGCGGGATAGCAAGTATCTAAAAGCAGTTAGTTGAGGTTTAAATTAAAAATTCATAAACAAATATTACCAAAAATGTAACACTAACATTCTGAGATTTGGTCACGTCTTGTTAATTAACAAATACCATTACAATTGGGATGATGACGGGGTATGATCATATTAAAAATCTATTTCGTCCGTAAGTTAGGTAATGAAAAAATATTAGACACGATTTTTTTATTTTGTAGTATAATAAAACAATACTTAGATAAAACGAATCAAAGTTTAGGAGTGGGGGCTAAAATGTCATTTCTACGTATAAAATGTACATAGAAGTGACGTCACGCAACATTTCAAATCAATATATCCGCGAAAGTATTCGTTTCTGTAAGAAATAAAAAATACGTATCTAATGATTTAAAATAACCTACCAGCCGGACATTAAAATAAAAATTAGGCATCTACCCTATTCACTGTGAATCAAAGTGAATCAAATGAAGATAATCTGGATTCCGTAATATATCACATACTAAAACAGTTTCTACTAAACAAAACTAAAATATAAATACAACTGCAAAAAAAGGAATTTTACCTCGGTAACGGAGCAGTGTTAGCTCGCTGTCTAGTGCCAACTGATGAACTTATCTTCTCTAAATTCACGGGAACACCCAACGCATTCTGTAATGTAAATAAATAATACATTGTTCATGATCCAAATATTTAGTACAAAACAACTGTAAGAATCACTCTTACTAAATACTTATATCCAACTTCTCAGAAAACAATGCTGTTCAATATAGACGTAAGTTGTCTTGTACGTAGTTTAACAGATGACGTAAGAGATGTTATCTATTTGGAATATTAACACAGTTTCGAATATACGCACAAAAACATTGACAACAGCAGTAGCACCGCAGGCCGAGGTGCTGATCTGCGTGACCTGTCTCTCGCAGGCCTCGCACTCCGACCAGATCATGCACCGCGGCGGCTCCACGCACGCTGCACTCGTACTCGTGCTCGCTGCTGCTTCACTAGCCTAAGCAAAGAAATAAGTTAGTAATGTAAGGAAAAAAAGGGGTTTTTTTGATATTTTTTTTTTGTAACTCTTTTAATTGTATAGTAGTACCTACTGTTATTGTTCATTTTGTAAAAATGTCTAAGGGGGAGCGGGGTCTCCTAACACAGGCACATCTTGCTTAAAAGGAGTCCCTAAGGATGATCACTCAATTTAATTATAAAATAACAATAATAAAAGGATTTTTTCATTTTCATTTTCATTTTTCGTTCATTTTCATGTAAGCTTGTCAAAAAAGTGTTCAGAGTAATTGGGATCGCTAGTATCGTACCTGTGCCAACCTGGTACGATACAACTCAATCGGTTTTGATATTTGTTATTTTTATTAAGTTTAAAAAGAGAAGGTACATTTCCTGTTGACTGTTTATTCATGGGATATGGTCTGGAGTGGGTGACTCAGTCAAAGTCAATATTAATTTCAGCTGTCATCGCATCAAACTCCTTTTTTCTACTCTGTAATATTTTGCATGCTTCCTTAAAAATGCAATTGAAAAAGAACTGCTTAGTTCATTGTGTGAACTACTTCAAAAAATTTTCGCCTATGTTGTAGTCACCTTCTGGACTAGATTCATACCCTTGAGGTCTTTGAATAAAAGATTTATAAGAAAAGACCTTGTTTTCTTATGTCCTGTAAGAAAAATAGTAGTACTGATAATAATAGTACTGACTGTTTCCTCAATGTAGTAGGTTTTATGTATGTACTATGACTAAAGGATTGATGAAACCAAATCTTGATCTGTAGATATGAAACACGTTACAGGATCATTTACCTTAGCAGTGGCCTGGTTCTCAGCATCACACCGAGCCTTCTCAGCGATCAACTTCTTAGCCATTGTAACATGATACAGGGCTGATGATAAAGTAGCAGTGTCAAGAGTTGACTGGTTGATTTGGTGAGCAAATGCTTCCACATGTTCATCATCATCTGCAAATGATTGGCTTATAGTAAAACTTGGAAGACACCAGCATACCTGTCAGAGATAGGCATGAGTACTCACTCAACTGTCACACTTAAATTGTAACAGCAACCACTTATATCCCTTAACTCGTCGAGTACCGGTTTTGCAGACACAATTATAGAACAATAGGTTGCGGTCACCGGTGACCGCTTGGTATTTGACAGTTTAAATGTTATTTATATTTCTAGTACTAAGGACAAAGGACTTTTTTTTTTTTAAGGGGGGAAAATCATCGAATGACTGCTCCCGCCTGGGTGAGGCGGAAGGGAGTGTCAGACTCTTACTGACTAAAAACCACCCCGTTCCTTCTCCTGCACGTCGAACCGGAGCCCCGGTTACCCGTTAGGTTCTCCGCGACAAGGAGAAAGGACTAAGAGTCTAAGAGAGAAACAAAGTTTCCAATTAGATTTTTCTTGCCAATTCCACAAAATAAAAGGAACCAGATACTCAATTTGTGTAAATAAATACTGTCTTATGTACACAATAATAAAACAACACTGTCTTAACTATAAAAGAGGAACCTCTTTAGTTTCAATGTCCATAACCACTTTAAACAACTCAATAATCACTGAAACTGCTAATAGCTGTAGTATGATAAAATAAATTAATTAAACTAATTATTAGTCAGTCATGTATTCTTACATATCTCTCATTTGATTATCTACCATTTATATGAGACAAAATGAAAAATATAATCTAAGTGTGAACTGGATTACAATAACATTGGAATGTTACTTGATTTCTGTAAAGAAAATTAGTAAAATATCCCATCCTTACAATTGCATAAAAAAAAAATTAAAAACTCACAACATAGTAATTCCGAGGGTGATACCAAGTCTCCGCTTGTGAAATGAAGACTGCCTGCAAAGTTAATAGGTCCATGTGCCATTGTTCTCCTGACTATAAGCTGCTCTCCCCTCGAGTTAACATGGGTGATGTATGGTCCATAGCTGTAATTCTGATCCACATAATTATGACTGCTACTGCTCTCAGGAGCATCCCCTTGACCCCCTACTCCTCGACTTGTTGATGGCACACTATATGAATATAGGTCTGCATCCCCATGAGATCCCGATGCTATTGGAGGGGGCACACTCACAGGAGCGTACCTGACTGGAGGAACATACTCAGGAGATGTTCCTCTCACCAAGACAGGCTCATTCTCTTCTGGCATGTTGCTTGCAGATTCCAAATCAGCATCAGGGGATGATTCATCACCAGTATCTACTTCACATGAAGGTCCAGGATCAAAGTCCATTTCCAAAAAGTCCATATCAGGGCTAGAAGCTCTTGAACCATGTTCTCGACCTGCAGCTGCAGCCTGCGGGGGCCCGGGGAAATTAGGCATAGCTAGATGTTTATCTAAAGGCAAACCCATGTCCAGGCTAAAGAATGAACTTGGCAAGTCAGCCAAATGTTCTCCACCCCTGTATGTGTAGATGCACCCATCTTCTGATCCCAAAGAATAATCATCATTGCCAGTATCACTAGAGCTGTCTTCATCTAGATTAGGCCTGTTAAGCTTCAGACTTGAGGGTCTCTTCCTGTTCTCTCTAAAAGGACTGCACTCTGCATTCTCACTAGGTTTATTAGTGCCACTTGTTGATGGCAGACTACTGCTGCCTGCCTTGTCTAAGCACACCTTATGTCTCTGGCAAGTTTGTTTGTCCTGGCTGCTCTCTGTACCATTGTCATACAGTGCTGGTATGGACCTGCTGTTGCCAGGAACCGCAGGGTCCGGTAGATCAGTTGTAGAATTTGTTATTTTATTATTACAAAACTGTGGTTGAGTAGAAGTACTTATGGCTTTACTAGTTCCAGGAATATTTTCGCTACACTTACTAGCTTGAGAGGTTGATTCATTGTTGGATGATGAATTTACATGATTCGCCTGAGGTCCGTTCAACGGAACAAAGCTTGAACTTGGATTGGAGGTCGATGTAAATAGGTTTTCAGCAGAGTCTCTCGGCCCTGTTGGATTAGGAGTGTCTTTATAATCTTTACTATTTTCTTCTTCGTCATCTAGCTTTACAGAATTCCTCATGGACGAAGAATCTTTAGAAGAATCCATGATTACAAATACATTGTCGAAGTCGGCATTGTTCACTTAAATTTTTTAAGGTTACCAATGGCTTGTTGATACAGAAAGAGGCGTTAAGAAAGGCACTTAACTAAAGTTTTGTCGTATTACGAACAAATACTAAGAATAAATTCAAGAACACTGAATATTTAGGGCACAATCTGCAAAAGGAAATAATAACAAACCAATTCGCAATATTCAGATCAAAATCCTAATTTGACATTTGACAGAACGGAAAACATAAATGACAGTTGATTCCATTCAAAGAGTAAAGGAGGTAGTTTCTTCTAAATAGTGTTTTCGTTTCATTGTAAAACGTGGTATTTTCATTCGTTACGTTTAGAATTGTTTATGGATTTAAAGCTATATTCACAATATATTAAAATTAGTGGATAATATTTCGCATAACTACGTTTATATTACGAAATAAATAGTATATTGTTGAATTCAGGTGTATATTTATAGCAAATCAGATTTATTAAACCACTATAAAAGCCATTAACAATCAGATTCCGACAAATAATACGGATCAATGGACAGAGTTCCAACAGTATAACCTGCCTTTATAGTAAAGGCTATGATTGTCAAATTTTCTTTCATACATTTTACAATGACAAATTGATTCAACCAGCTGTGAGATTTCTAAAAATTGCGTCTTATTTGTTACAATATCAATCTATTCCGTAAAATCTTTGTTTATCATCATCGACGATTGTAATTTGCAATAGTTACAAAGACCTGCAGAGAAGATGGCATACGCCTACTTGTTCAAATACATCATCATCGGCGACACAGGTATTGATTTTATTTCCTGATATTTTATTTAGACATCTAAAAATTCTAAGCTGTGTATTCATACTGCCTTTTTGTGTAAAGTTCACGATATCGTAATTTGACTCGTCTTCATTCATGTGCGGGATCGATCGATACCTGCGCATTGTTATGAATGTTAGTATTTTGTGGTAGTCGCTTTCCGCCTACGCTGTCTGCTAACTACGTCGAGTTAGATCTCTAATGCGCATCTCATTATGTACTGTGCAGTGAAGTTCAGCAAATTAATGATTTGGATCAATACATGTATTTCGTCATGTGTTTCTATGTATGTTGTTTTGAGCCTCATTCAAGGACTTTCTTTGTTTGTTTTTTTTTTCATTTAAAACTAGTCTATACTTCTTTATGTGCATAATTTTTATTTATTTCATTGAAGCAATAAAATTGACACCAATGTTCCTATTTTGTAGTACCTAGTACTCTTAATACAGACTGATTAATGTGAGAGATAAAGAGTTCAAAGCTCTTATTGGTCTTGCTAATGATTTGTTTATATAGACATCACCTGTTCCTTTGTCTGGTTTTATTATACATTGACCTCTTACTGATATTTATAAATCATCTTATTTATTTAGGTAGTAATTTGATATTTTATTCACAATAGCAAGCAATATGAAAATAATTTGATGCTGGGGAACAATTTTACTGTATTATACAGGGATGTTATGTGACTAGTATTTAGAAAAAACAATGTGTTTAGAATAGGATGAAGACTTGAAATTACAACACTGAAATGATGAAGTAACATCTTTATTCACTGTTGTGAAACACAAATATGTTTTTAATTTGTAATAACTATGTTTTTAGAATGTCCATTGCAGTTCTAATTATCTTTATTTTGTATTTGTTCTCAGGTGTAGGCAAGTCATGCTTACTACTCCAGTTCACCGACAAAAGGTTCCAGCCGGTACATGATCTCACAATTGGTGTTGAGTTTGGTGCTCGCATGATTACCATTGATGGCAAGCAGATCAAACTGCAGATATGGGATACTGCTGGGCAGGAAGCTTTCAGGTAAGACAGATAATATACCCAACCTAGACATAATATTTAACAGAAAAAGAAAATTGTAATTGTAATAATAATTGAAGAAATTCTGGACGGCTGGAAAGACTAGGGGCAGAGCACTCTTAGCATTACTCTTAGCCATAAAAGTATGCCATCGCGAAGGACACACCGGGCGTCGGGGATCGCGGGACGATCTCCGGCCACCGTAAGCGCGGGCCTGCGGACGGCGAGCATGGGTGGCTCCCCGTCCGACCAGAAACAGGCCCGAGCGTACGGCGCGTCGCGTTCCGCGCGCGCCTCAAAGAGCCATCAGACCACCACAGATGGGGCCCAATAGGGCCGATGCCGATTCGGAGTCGCGGAGAACCTAACGGGTAACCGGGGCTCCGGCTCGACGTGCAGGAGAAGGAACGGGGTGGTTTTTAGTCAGTAAGAGTCTGACACTCCCTCCCGCCTCACCCAGGCGGGGGCAGTCATTCGATGATTTTCCCCCTTAAAAAAAAAAAAAAAAGCCATAAAAGTATTTTAATGCTTTTATGGCCATAATGGCCACATTTTTACTTGTTCTATCGAAAATTATAGGTACTTATTATATTGAAACAGATGGTTTCTGTCTTGTATTAAATTAGCAGTAATTTTGTTGTTGCTAATTTTATTTCATTTCTATTGTAGCTTATTCTAATAGGATTATTGACAAACATGGATTTTCACCTAGACACATTAAACAATCACTATGTTTGTTGTGAATATGATGTCATTTTCTATTCATCAGTTAGTGTATTTGTTTCTGCCTAAACTAGATTAGATCGAGATCTAAGCAATCTAATTGCATTGGACGAAATTTGACACATAAAATTAGAATCTTCAGTTAAAAGAATCTATGACCCTTAAAATTAGAATAGAAAACAATGTCAAATTAGTCTTTCTTTAACTATGATCCTTATTGGATTCATTTAAGGATGTACTTATTGGATTATTCATTGATTATACTTCTATAATGTTTGCATAACAGTCTGCACTTCAACTTCAATATACATGTGAAATGAATCATACAGAAATTAACAATAACAATGTAATTCTTACTTAAGCATCATATCAGTGGGTATTATCCTAATAAGTCAATTTGAATAGATATTTCAATATTATGAATCAATACATCTATTATTTTATTATAACAAGTGTCAAACTTTATTAATCTGACATCACTACCCGAAGACTTAAAGACTCGGTTTTCATTCAAGAAGAAGAAAAATGCAACAACTGACATAATATCACACTTGCACTCTTGTCTCCAATGGGGTAAGCTGTGTTACTATGTATACTATACAATTTTACTACAAACAATGTACTGAACTAAATTTTCAACTCTGAGCTACTTATGGAAATTCAATAAATAAAATATCTAACAACATTATGCCTCACTTAGAGCAAGACCGAGACCTTGTCCTCAACACTCACACTATACAAACTATCTACTCTACCAAGAAGGCAGTCTAAAATAATATTAACCTTCTTTTTCTTTTAGTTAAAAAGTTAACCAATTTGAACAAAACAACAATTTATTGTACTGCTTGCAAGTAACCTAGATTTGATGCTATTTAACATTCAACACTTGTTAGTAAGAATGCTTTTAAATAATGTAATTATAAAGAATTTCATGCTTAACCAAGCATAAAATGAAGTTTTTTGTGTAATAGAAATTCTTTTTAAAATGTGACAGTGATAAGACGGGAAATAATTTATTTATTGACTTTTAATCAAAATTAATTAAATCTTGTTAATTCGGTGCACTCAAAAACATTCTATGATACTAATAATAACATTCTAATTGTTAATAAAATGGAAATAAATGTACATTTATTATATTAGAAAACAATTAAGAACAGATATAATGAACTTAATCAATGAATGCAAGTGTCATAATGAAGATGATATATTATGATTTCTACTGATTTGGAATTCATAGAAATCTAATAACGATATTAAAAAAAAAAAATATTGCAAAAAAAAAAAATGCAATCAGACACAACTAAACTGAGTCAGTGAATGAACTAGTCCAAAATCCAACAGCTGAAACAAGCAGACTCATATCAGTTAATTATCAGCTACTAACGTGGTAACAGTATGTACCACATTCGTTGTATTTGTTTGACCTTGATTAAAATAATCAAGTTTTACATGCAAGTCGGACACAGGAACAATATAAATTGTAGGTTTGTAGGTATGTGAACTCATTTGCAGGTACTTACGAACTTAGATATTGTGCAATGTTTCATAGTAATAAATAGACCAAGTACACTTGTGGTACACATGCTCATTCTAATATCTAAAATTAATCTCAAAAAAGAATCTCTTTGGTATACCATACATTACACATACGTCTAAAAGTACGTAATAGACTCAATCTTATACGAGGGACATTGACGGCATCGTATGTATGATGAGACGAATATCTGTAGTTTGAACACTAAAACAGTAATAATTTTGTAGATATTCTCAAAAAATCATGATAGTTTTGAATCTCATAATTTGGTCAGTTGATATCCTTAGGGATATAAGCATGATCTGAAGATCCAGATGCAATAATTTTAACTTTTTTGCAGATCGATCACACGATCATACTACAGGGGCGCGGCAGGGGCCCTGCTAGTGTACGACATCACCAGACGGGACACATTCAACCACCTCACCACTTGGCTTGAAGACGCACGCCAACACTCCAACTCTAATATGGTCATTATGCTGATTGGCAACAAGAGGTGAGATTCTATTGACAGTCTTCCTTCTATTTTTTTTTCTATTTTTTATGTATGTATATATTTTTTTCTATTAATTAGACAACTACTTCTGCGCGGTTCCACTCACTGCACGGCTTTTGATCGTCACGTGATGTTTGATAACCTTTTTCGACAAATTTACTTTAATATGCAACACAAAAATTCAGGTGATTAGAGCGTTCAAACTAACAAACTCTTTAGCATTATAATATTAGTACAGATTTCTTCCTATTTCGTCTCTTTCTAAATATAAAAACCCACCTTGTAAACACGTCTATAGGGGTCACATTTGGTTACAAATTAAATAGGTAAATAGGTCAGCGATTCAGGGCGTGAAACCAACCCTCTCTCTTTACCATAATGTTAGTTAGGGTCTTGTGTCACTTGTCTATTCAGGAATTGAAAAGGATTTAGTTTAACCTCTTGTCTGTCGATATATGAGACACAATAGAAAACACATTGTGTTTCGCATATCTACGCTACCCAGATCTCTGGGTTCCGACAGTTTACAGGTTAATGCTTAGTTACCAGTGTTACCAAACTAATTACACGTTTTGTCTAACTATTACAACAGGTAATCAAATTGCAATCCACGAATCGATTAACTTTCTATCAATACTAATGTGTCAT